TTATTAGGCAAAATTTTGCTCATTTTGGCTTTTATAAGATCGAAACAAAGAATTTTGAAATGTAAATTAATGAAAGAAAAGTTAATAATAAGATCGTAGAACTTATATGTTTCATAATTCTTAAGGGAGAAGACAAAATCTTTAATTGGTTTAATGCTATATTGTTTATTAAAGTCTTTTTCCATATTAGAAAGAAATTTTATATTTAATTTGTCACTATTAAGAGAGTTTCTATTACTTCTTGAACCCCGTTTACCTCGATTTGTACGCTTATCTTTAATATGAAAAAGTGAATAAGTTGATGAGTTATTGTAGTTAATCTGTGTATGTTGGAAGGTATCGTTTAGCCCATACGGCAGAATTGTTTTGTATAGAAGCATGTAGTAATTTTCTTTCTGTAGTCTTAAATCTAAATCCTCTATAATATCTAAGATATTAATTTTGACTCTGTTAAATTTATGTACTCTAAAATGATTCAATTCCAGGTTATTGATAGTCTTATTACTGTTAATATCAGAACGGTGTTGATTAATTCGAATGTTAAGTGAGTTACTAGTTTGTCCAACATATTTCATATTACAGAAACCACAGGTTAACATATAAATAACATTTTTAATTTTACAAAAAGATTTGGAGCTAACGTTATAAGGAACAGTATGTTTTTTGTCAATATTAGGGCAAGTTTTGCATCTTTTATCATCACACGCTTTATAGGAAGGTAAAGTTTCGGGAATAGAATGCAATTCAAAAAATCGTTTGCTTTCGCTTTTGCTTTCAGAGTAGCAGGATGTCGATCCGAAGTTCCCCTCTGATTTAGGCTCTCCGTACCGGGTACAACATGAAGAATAATTTAAATATTGAACACATTTTTTACCAGGCGCTAAATTGTGATAATTGTTTAATTCCATAAAAATAGGCTCAAAGAGCAACATCCTAAACACACGTAACGTCCTAAAGACTGGAAATAAAAACGAAAACAGAAGGAGAATGAAAGAAAGTTAATAGTAGATAATATTAAGCGCTAAAGCTGCATTAAATATGATCACTATAATAATAAATAAATAAATACAAGAAAACACTAAGAAAATTAAGAAAAACAATAAGTAACATTTATTGCGCTTAAGCTGCAAGTAAACAGCACTCATTAGATAAGTTCAAAATGAAGAATAAAACAAAGAAAAATTATAGATATCAAATTATATAAAAATAATATAAAAATTATATTATTTCCCACCCCCTTTTTTTCATATGTCTATAATTTTTCTTTGTTTTATTCTTCATTTTGAACTTATATATATATATATATATACGCTGAATGTAGTGTGGTAGGAGAGATGCATATTTTTGTGCAGAGCGCCGTCCGCAAATGATGATTGCGCCTAGGAAATGCCACGAAAACACTTCCTGGTCCATAATGTTCCGACCTTCACCGTGGTCTTTTCAGACAATTGTCGCAGGATGTCAGATATTTCATACCGTATAAGTCAAAACATAAAACATGATGATACGAAATCGATGAAACCTAAAACATGATTCATTTAAAAATCCTCGTATTATACAGTTGTTGGCTTGAATGCTCTATTAAGGCTTATAAGCTTTCGTCAGACAGAATGATAGCAGGAAGAAACATGCAGGGTTACGAAGGAATCGGAACTAGCTACCTCCACGTTATAGAGCGTTTGGCGAGTGATGCGCTCGACCAGGAAAGCTTGATTATGGCGTGTGATGCAAAATATATGTCTCGTCAATGAATTTGGATGGTGTCATGTTACATAAAATACACTGAAGCGGAGCCATGGTGGCTCAGGGTATAGAGCATTCGCCTTCGAATGAGGTGAACAGCGCTCGTATCCCAGCGATGGCTCGTCAATACGAATTCTGCACCAGGCTCGCACCGACAATCCTGACGTAAAATATCTTCAGTGGAAGACGGATCATGGATTAGAGGACCCCTTGCCATCAGTCTAACCAAGGCAGAGTTTCGTGGTTTTCCTCTCCTCTATGTAACGAGAATGCGGGATAGTTCCATCAAAAAGTCCTCCATGAAGGCAAATTTCTTCCAACACATGATCCAGGAGTTAACTTTTTTTCTGTATTGGGTTCAAAACTACAAGGTTAAGGAGTTGAGCACTGGAAGTCGAAAACTCAAAAACTGGATCAGCCTTTCAAAGCCGATAAAATAAAATAAAATAAACTGAAGAACGCAAACAACTTCCCAAATTAGCAAAAATGCTCCACCCTTGGCCTTACATTAAGTTTTCTTTTATTTATTTGATCGTACACATTCATATGCACTTGTGTGTTCAACAAAATGAAGAACTTAAAAGCTTTTGTCAGTTGAAGAATAGCTCGTACAATTTAAAGGAAGACATACTTAAAGATCACTTCGTTTGAAGCGAAATTCGAACCCGCTACCTCTACAATATAGAGCGCTAGACAGAAATGGCATAATTTCTCACCCAGGGAGGTTACCATACATACGCTGGCTTGAGAGCTCAATACGAAGGACGACTGATAACCCCATCTTTTTTTGAAGAACAGACAGCATGAGTTAGAGAAAGGCAGCACAAATACACATGCAAGTTTACAGTGAGTACTGCTCATTCTGGGTCCCTTCGCAGACTAATGGATTTTTTCCACCATCCTCTCACTAATTGCAGTCAGTGATGCTTGATTTTAGTGATCTATTGACTGTCTATCCACTTTTCTTTGAGTTAAACTTTAACTTTCTGCACCACCATCAGCAGAAGCGGCATTTTTTTTTAAAAATTAAACCAGAAGTTTTAAGAGAAAAAAATTTTGAGTTATTTTTGCGAGAATTATTATTTTTTTAATCTTAGCCATTTTGATGGTGCAAATTTTTGAAAAAGATCAGTCTAGTTCAGAACGCCTTGTATTTACTAACCGGTTAACAAAATAATTGCAAATTCTAAGTAATAGTTTAAATTTCATTTAGAAAGTTAGAATATTTAGTAACAGTTGCTTCGGAAACTTCAGATTTCAGACTCATTGATTTCCTCTTTTTTTTTCTTCTATGAAAAGTGAAATTATCTCTGACATTTAATTCCTCAAAAAATATTTAAAGTATTGACATCTCAATTTATATAAATATTGTCTAAGAAAAGGGAATAGTTGTTTTATTTCTTAAGAAAACGAGAGATTCTTTAAGAATGTAAGCTATACTTACCTTGTTTAAATGAAAGTAAAGGAATATTTCATTCGATTCCAGTATCGTATGTATAGAATGCAAAAGAACGCTGAAATGGCACAACTCTTCTATTTACGTAAGCGGAATAGCAATCATAAACTCAGAATAGTTCAGAGTTAATTCTGTTCAAACATTCGTGTTAGTATGGAATTGGATTTTGTATCCAATTAAAGGAACAGAAAATTGACCCATAACTAACATGCACGAATCTGAAAAAAAAAAAAAAATGTCTGCATACAGCATAAAAACATAATGGTCTAGCACAGACTCTTATTATCGTCCATGCATTTTTATTGGCCGGAAAATTAAATCACATGGTCAGATCCAGATTTTCCGCCTAGATTTCTTTATCGTTTTTTGTCGTCAGCATAAAATCAATAAATGTCATTAAGGTATTGATATTCTATAAAAAGTTTTGCATCTCTAATTGAAAGGTATACCCTTGTACTTGTATTATTGTCTTTTTTATTTAATTTTTTTTCTAAATTAAACATTTGAAACTTAGAGAATTGTTTTTTTGTTTTATTAAAGCGTAATTTTAGGCTGAATTCGATAATAAGATAATATATAATAAGATAATAATAAGATTATGAATAAGATAAGGTTATTTAAATCGGTGTCCGATCTTATTAACCATTTTACAATTATTATTTTATGTACAAATTGCATTAATGTACTATTATTAATTACTTAATTGTTATTATTGTATTGCTTGTATTGTATCAAATATATTGCATATATTAGATACAATACAAAAATTGTATCTAATGTATCCGTCCGTTTAGTATACGAAATGATTAAATTACGGTCGTGAACCCACTAAATTTGTTATAACAATTACTTTTAAATTTAAATGTAATTTAAAAAAAAATGATTAATTAGAAAAAAATTACATGTTCACTAATAAATCTTAAGAGGCCAGGATAACCTTGTTGGTAGAACGTTTTGCCCATGTCCAAGAGGTTGTGAAGTGTTGGTGAATGGTGCACGCTAAATCGGTCGGGTTACAAAGTTCTCAGTGTTCCCATAATCAATCATACCTCTGGGGGTGCTGAATTGGAGATTGATCGTTCTCTGGTTCAGGTCAAAATTACGATCAGTGTGATGAATGAATGGGTCCACCCTTTAAACGGACTGTGACACGTGTGTGGCACAAGCCATATTCTTGCCCATAGATGGCGCCACTTAAAAAAAAAAGAAATGGACTTTCGGCCTTAAATTCGGTTGATTTCTCCGAGCAGGCTTCCTGGTATTGGCAAGAGGCACTAGAACCAACAACTACAATAGATCTTAATCGAATCATAAGGGAAATATTTGGCCGTTCGAAAGGGCGGAGCACAAGAATAAGCAAACGGAATTCTTTTTAATGCATATATTAACCCACTGACTGCTCAATTTTTGGACCGAAATCGCTTTAAAAATTGCATATTTTTTTTGCGAATGTGAAGTTAAAATGTGAAGTTTGCGCGGTAACACTACGCGCCTTCAAATACGACAATTCAGTGGACAACTAACGACATCTGTTGGTCAAAACGTAAATTAAACGTCTAATACTGCTTAAACGGGGAATGTGCGGGATGCACTCACGGAAATGCTCACGGTTTCGGCACCGCTTGGCGCGGTCGAGAATAAGCTCTCTGAAAACCGCAAAATTAAGAATATGGTAACCCAACCGATCTATGCGTCGCATCTTGCTACAGCGTGCTACCCTATTACGTTGATTGAGTAGGAAAATGATGGTTCTATTCTAGTTAAAAATTTCTTTCTTATTCACTTCTATCTTCACACCGCTCGTGTATTTTTATAAGCGATTTTCGTTTAGAATGAAAAATTCATACTTAATTTAATGTTTATGTCTCAGAATTTCATTTAAAAATAGATTCTTGTAAATATTTTACTTTTCAACTTCTTTTTTTTATTATTGTTCTTGAAAGTGTAAAATCTATTTTTTTTATTTATTATTTTACTTGCTAAGACAGTTTACCATTCTTTACTATGCTATATATATAAAGGCTTGTGTGCTCACTATATACTAAGGCATATTGCATTCTGTTTCCAATTCAAATGTAAGAAATTTATATATAAGGTATTTTTAGTGCAGTACATTGCAAAAATTACCTTTATCGCTAAATTCAGCATTTCAGATGCGTAATTAGAAAAAAAAATTAATTCTTTTATTCCAAATGCATAATAAAAATTCTTCACAATGAAATACATATTGTTACGCTAATAATGAACTATAATAGATTTGAGAAATGAGTTAAAGAAGAACTTTATACAGTTAAAAAAAATTGCCTCACTTGTTTGCTTTATCAGATGGAGGAGATTTTATTAAATCGTTTTTTCTCAAATAAAACATTTAATCAGAAAAAGGTGATAATTTTCAATTGGAAATATATATAAGAAATTTTTCACAAAGGAATCGATACTTTTACGCAAATAATAAATTAAGATAGATCTGAAAAAATAGACCTGAGAAAGCAATTAATACATTTAAAGTGCTTTAATTTAACCTTATCATTTTAGTCATTTGTTTGCAGTTTCAAAAGTAATAAAAGTTTCAAAAAAAATGTTTATTTCATTCTCATACGCAGCACTTTACTTTAACCTTATTATTTTATTCATTTTCAATAAGATGAAGATTTTAATGACACTACTTCAATATTTTGAAAGTTTCAAAAATTATAAAAATTCAGAAAAAAAAGTTTTATTTAATTTTAATCCGATCAAATTTACTTTAACATTATTTTACTCAAATGCAATTTCAAAAGTGATGAAGTACAAGAACCAAGTTTTATTTTATAATTATACGACTAAAAATTTTGCCATTTCTTATAACATTACTAAATAAGATATTATATAATAGTATAAGAAAAAAAATTAATGGTAGATTCAAAATAAATAATAAGAAATACTTCACAGAAAAATCGATATTTCTACACAAATAATAATTAATTGGGGAATATCTTAGGAAATGGATCTACAAAAGCAAATTATACAATTAAAATAATTTATCCTTAGAATGCAACAGTGAACTATTTTGTTAATATGAAATATATTTCAGATGTTTTTGTAAATAGTTTTAAAAACTTAAATAAACATGTATAATAAAATTAGTTACAATTCCTTGACATAAGAGTTTCTCTGTTTCTTCAGTTTGATTAGACCAATCTGAACTTAAGTATATATAAAAGTAAAATATAATTTATATTTCAGGGCTCTAAGAGAACTTTTGCTTTTATTTGTTCTTTAGCATTTATGCTATTTTTAACCTAATTGATTTGTTTTATCCACCGTGATTGCTTGCATCTTAAAAAATATCTATAGTTGATTTATAGAGAAAATTACATTGTCAACTTTCATCATAATTAACAACACTTAAACTCGAAAAAAAGTTGTTCGCAAGTATAACACTAGTTTCCATTGCACGCATTTCAATTATAAATTTGGAGTTTAATTAAAAAAAAAAATATAACTTTAAACGCGATAAAATGATTTTATTAAAATTTAAATCAAATCAGTAAAAATAATATTTCATTTATCTATTTAATTATTATTTTTTTTTAACTAAGAAATTGAAAATAAAAAACACTTCTGAGAAAACTCCAAACAAGTCAATACAATCAATGTATCAGAATACGTCATCAGGTCAATGCCCTTCACAGTCATAAAATTTTAAAATTAAATTCCAGCTTAGAAGTTCAGATTAAAACTAAATTTGAAAGATTTAATTAAAATTATTACTAAATATTGCAAAGAGAATTTTGTGTTTTAATATTTGAGTTACATGATCTTATGAAAACACAAAAACAATGAAAAAAATTGTAATAAAATAGTGAAAACAATTCTATCCCTTGTTTATAAACGCTACGCAAAAGCAATTTGGCGACAGAGCAGGTTTGACTTAAAAGTTTCCGCCAAGAATGCCAAGCGGTGCCGAAACCGTGAGCATTTCCGTGAGTGCAAACGGCACGCTCTCATCAATAAAGGAAGAAAAACACATGCCCGCAGAAATCGCATGAGCAGATTTTGCTACAATTGAGTTGCCCGTGGAAATCGCGGGTTGAGCAGACGGAGGGTCAAGTAAAATATTTCAAGTTTCATAGAAAGTTTTATTCAAGAAAGTTTTTTTCAAGTTTTATTTCAAGAAAAAACTATTATTGCGAAGCTATCATTTTCAAATTTACTATTTTCAAATTTACTATTATCAAATTTTCAAAATTACTATTTTCAAATTATTTCAAATTTACTGTTAGTTTTTGTTATTCGATAAGTAAAGTATTCAATTAATATAATGATACTGTAATGAATTTTAAAACCATTCACAGGTAAGAAAAAGTTTGCTCAGATCATATTTTAACGGGAAATTATGATTAACGATTTTTTTTGTCAAAATTCTATATATTAAAACTTTATATTCAAAACTTATTACTAAATATTCAAGTGATTCGTGATAAAAAATTTAATGTACCTCTACCGAAACAATTTTTTTGCTTATTTACTGAAGTCGTGCAATATATTAAATTGGACGCTTTTTAGAATTTGTGATAAGCATCTGATTAAACAAAATTTTGTTTGCCTTACGTAAATAAACTTAATGAATTTTCTTCATATATATACTCATAACTTATCCTTTATACGTACAAAAAAAATCAGTTGTTAGAATACTTGGAAAACTTTTGAAACCACCATTGAGTAAATTTCATATTTTTGTGAGGTTATTTTGTATTGTGTAGTGCTGAAAGCAATATACAATGAGGGAATGTCTTAAGTTTGGTTTTGCGCAGGCTCAATCACATAATTTAAAATTTTTGAAGTAAAAAAAGGCCAGAAAGGAAAATTAGACGCTTTCAAAAGTTGGAAATATGCCAATTTCTTCAGTGGTAACATAAAAAACTATATAACATTTAATTTTAACCTGTTACTTTGAGCAATTTTAAGCTTCCTCTTAAAATTTAGTGTTTTTTTCTAACAACTAGAGAAGAGAGGAAAGCATTTCTAGACTTGGTTATGGGCTTAAAAAGTCAATATATGTGTTTAAAATATATTTTAATTGCTTTCCCTATTAGTGAAAATTCAAAAACATAATGGTCTAAGATATCCCTGCAACTGGGGCTTCTTCGGCTACCAGACGTTTTTTTTAAAATGAAAATCTGTTCCTTAAAGTCAACTTCTTGAAAATGTTTCCTTTACCTTTTGACACAGAATTTTTATTCAAATATGTTTTTCATACTTTTCTCTTTTGTATTAATTTTAGTATTCATTTAGATCTAAATAAGGGGAAAATATTATATTTAGCCTTTTAACAATTTATGGTTATGAAATAAAGTATGAGCACCGTTGTTTTTTTCTGCGATAAAGGTAAAATCTTCCAAACACGGCTCTCCTCCAAACAATATATATTTTTTTAAATTTGCAGTTAATTAGATCTTAGAGGAACAGTTATGTATCATTAAAATTTCTTTAATTTAAGCACTCAAGGATTGATAAATTTTTAAATATGAGTAAAAATAAAAATTTCAAACTAATTTTTTTGAATTTCATATTTTAGTACAAATATATTCCGATAACCTAACATATTGTTTTTAGTAATTATTTGGCTGCAATAATTACCAAAAATATCTACTTTATACAAATATTGCCAAATAAAGAATAACACTCACAGCATGGCAAACGCTACACTTTATTTATGCAATATTAACTTTCTTAAATATGTTGTAGGCTCAAGGCCTGTTAGAATTTATAAATCACAGAAAACTTTTATAAATGGCGAAATTATGCGTCAATATAAACACAAATCACAATAACAAAACTTACTAGAATATTAAGTCTGTTCACACACCACTTCGAAACGTAACATGCGCGGAGGGATACATCGGAAGTTTTCTAAATTTCTTCCGGTTTTAGCAAGCTTGTTATTGTTTATATTCAGTCAGCCACCCATTATGGATTATTTTAATACTAGTCGCAATTTTTTTAAATTGTAATGTATACATCATTTTAAAGTATCCAATTTTACATAGCAAAATTCAAAATTTGAGCTAAATCGGTTGATTAGTTCCTGAGAAATGAAATTTTAAATATATGACTTTTCAAAAAGTAAAATTAACCTTAAGGGACTCAAACTTTGAGTCGCTCTCCTGACCATACTATTTCACAGATTCCGACTACCCGCGATATTTTGGGGATCAGAAATCTGAATCCGTCCCAATAAAAGGTATGTTTATTCAGAGAAAGTACATTTTGGTGTCTGAATTCATGACTTAAAATACCGTTTGTTATTAATTAGCATATTTCAGGTCAACCCCTCAAACCATTAAGATTGAGTCGTAGATTCAATCATTAGATCAAAAGTTACTCCGGGTGGTCCGCTTTTTTCCCGCACTGTACGTTGTGCTTAGCTTATGAATACAAAACGAAGAGTATAATAAAAGTTTGCTAATTTTCTTAGAAACTTATTTTATATTGTACAAGGAGGCTTCGCCCCCTGCTCGCTGGCGCTCACCAACCTCCGGAACTGCTTTCGCAGTTTATTTCGGATTGCTTCGCAATCCAATGCTCGCTTTGCTCGCTCATTGGATACGTTCTTAACGTCTAGGTTTTGTATACTTTTTTGAATACTGAAGTTCCGAAAACTTTTCACTGTAGGAAAGGCAACTCTTAACCTCTAAATATTATTTTTTTTATGTACACATTTCTAAATGTCAGTATTCAACCACAAAATAACTTAAAGTCCTCAAATTTAGCATGAAGTTGTAAAATGTAATGAAAGAGGGTCATAGCAATAATGAAAGTAGAAGTAAAGTTAGTACTGTAAAATTAAAACAATATTTTTAATCAATGAGCCAAGTTCTTCAAGAAGCAGTTGTAGAAGTAGGTTGTTTATTTAAAACTTTTTATAGAATTTCTTTAAGAACACAATTGTTAATTTGGGCATTTGGCGATACAACACTTTTAGAATTGAAGGATTTGTTACGTCAAGCGCTCAGGTATCATAATTTTGATCTAGTTGCGCTTCTATGTCATTTTGATTTATGTTGCTAAGTTAACTTTCAAAAAATTCTATGGCTGGCAACAGCATTTTTATTTTTTAAGTTGTTTATTTTTATTTCTTTTAGAATTCGTTATTTTTTTAGCGAAATGTTTTTTAACCTAACAGAATTCTTTGCCGACTGTTTTCTCTATGAATGAAGAAAATAAAGTAAATATTTAACTGTTGTGAAAAGAATCTTATTTAGTTGTACAAAGTACTTCAGCCAAAATTTGGGAGCCACGTAAGAGAATTATATATATTAGATCAGAGACACATCATTAAAAGGCAGAATGCTTTGGTGTTTTCAAAACAAAGCAAACGTTGCCACCGGCGGAAAAGAAATACAGCCAAAATTTGGGAGCCACGTAAGAGAATTATATATAATAGATTATTAAAAGGTAATTTTAGGCTAAATCTATATCATAAATTACTATTAGGTCTGTTACAATTGTTTATTTTTCTTTTGTAAAGTTACAGTAAATACAAAACCGTTTCAAATATCCACATATCTCTAGAAACATTCTTATTCAATTTCTCATTGCAATTTACGTTGCGTTTTAGAATTTTAAACAGATTATTTCAATGCATCTCTTTCACTTACTTATACGGGTTTTTTTCTGTTGGTGCCTTGAACTAGCGCATAAGTAAGATTTTATTGTAATTCCACAATTCAAACTATTCAACGAAAAATCCTTGTTGTCGTGTATAAATAGGGTGGGGCTGAGTGTGTGCATATTTTACATAAAAAGTTTTCAAAATATTATATTTAAAATAGAGATGAGTTCGAAATTATATTTCCTAAAAATCTGTAGACTGAGACAGGAGTGGGTGTTCATACTTCAGAATCACATTGTTTCGCGTCATTCGTGGAATATCTTCCGTAATTATTGTAAATAGAAGATATTGCGTTCACGCGATAATAGGATTGGATGCAGGATTTTGTTTAATCGAAATTTTAACATTTTGACTTTGAGATTTTCTCCAAACATCCTCAAGCAATGTTCATAGTTTAAAATGTCTGGACATTAGATAGGACAAAGTAGAAAAAAAAATTTATGTCCTATACTCTTTATTTTCTTGAACTTCCTGATATTCATAGACTTGATCTAACTCTAAATTGATATTTCGGAGATGAGAAACAGCAAAGTTATCATAATTATTATATTTTCTCTGGGACTAAATTCGAACAGATAGTTGCTATTAAAAAAATATTTGTTTCTAAACCTACGTTGTAAGAAAATGGATAATCTGACCTACCGAGTTTTAAACCTTTTTTGACAAAACCTTTGAAAATGAATGAAAACTTTGTCGAACTGGAAAAAAACAATTCTATCGTAACCAATATGAGGATATGAGTTTCATAAAAAAGTATATATCACATCGATGCTGCTTATCGATTAATACATTCGATTAAGAAATACAACATGAAATAGAAGACGCACAAGCAAATGAGTTTCAGTCACCTCTAGAATTCACATCCGAGAAGCTTGCTTGACAAGAGAGCCCTGTACCATCCCGTCATACAGTGCCAACTGCTCTAAAATCTAATAAACAATATCTACGAGAACTCCCATAATGCACTGAGATTGATACACGAGTGGGATGACCGCTACGTCAAATATTTGCAAATTCGTGTTTCATCAAAAAATAGCGTGGTTTCATAACGAATGATTGTAAAAAATAACGAAAAACAAGGATATAACTAGAAGTACTGAATTGCTAAAAATTTGAATTTTTATCTGAGAAGACACTTTTACATGCTTTTATATAAATGTCTAAATGCCTTTGTTCACCTGTTCAATACTAACTCGATTGGCGACACAAAATTTAAGACATTTCTGGCGTATTAATTTTGCTACCAATTTCCTAAAGTCATGAAATAAAATAGTTTAAAAAGTTTTACTACTTGCAATATACACGTGCTTCAACGATGTCTTACGTCATCCATCCCTTTTGGATACTTGCTTTATGACTTCATATAAATTACAATAAAAATCCTCATCTTGTTACAATCGTGTGTTTATCTCTTAGTACATACATAAAAGAAAAAGTGAGCGCAAATTTTTTTGTGTAAGTTTAAGGTTTAAATTGTCTTGATAAAGTTTTATTGTATTAGTGGTTATTCCATACTAGAAAAATATTTGTCTCAATTTTAATCATTGCCAATCAAATTTCAAATATAAATTTTCTAAAGCTATGAAATAAAATAGTTAAAAAGTATATAAAAATATATACCTTAATAAACAACTGCGCGATTTATGGCTTTTAGATATTTGTTTTATAGCTTGATATGAATTAACAACGTAATTAAAAACTTCTCTATATCACCTTGTTGTACGCGAGTGCTTCACACGTATTTCGCACATAGAGTAAGTTTAAAAATTTTTTGTGTAAATTTAGAACTGAAACTGTATTTCAACACTTTATCTTTTGTTATACGTTATTCTGAACTCATGTTTGTGAAAATTGCAACACCATGAAGGACTTACGCGAGTGAGCTGAAATTTTCAGGAAATGCAAAGAAGAGCATGATATGCAAATAATTAGAATTTCAGACCCGTAGCTCATGCGTATGCTGAGCAGCGTACTCTGAACGGCGGATGGATCCGAATAAATAGACGGCTGTAACGAGGCGTGTATGGTTATCGGTGGTTATCTGCTAGTGGTAAACGTTAGCTCAGTCATTACTTATGCCTCTTCCACGAAAGAGAGCGAGATTTCAACAACTTACGGAATTTAAACGGGGAGAGTCATTGGCCTTCGTGAAGCTGGATTGTCTTATCGTGCAGTAGCCGCTCGTGTACAGCGTAACAGCAGCACAGTGATGCGTGTTTGAAAGCAGTGGATAGACAAGTGTCGGACAACTCGGAAATTTTGGAGTGAACCCCGAAATGTCACGTTAGCTCGCGATGATAGACACTTGTTCCGCGTTGCGCTAACGGACCGTACGGCTCCCTCTAGACAACTGGCAGCACGGTGGTCAATAGCTACAGGTGTTTCATTGTGTGCTTCATCAATTCGTAGATGTCTGCTGCAGCGTGGACTGCGCGCAAGGACTCCTTTATACAGGATCCTCCTCATGCTAAACCATTGCAGCCTGCGGCTACTATGAGCCAGTCAGCATAGGGACTGCCGTGCTGATTGGCAGCGTGTCGTGTTTTCTGATGAATCCCGCTTTAATTTGTGGTACCACGAGGGCCGCATTCGTGTCAGACGCTATGCCGGTGAACGCCACCTTCCGGAGTGCATTATCGAACGCCACAGTGGACGAACACCCTGAGTTATGGTCTGGGGTGCCATAGCAAAGAATGGACGATCTCAATTGCTACCTATTGTGGGTAATCTGGACAGCAACCGGTTCATCAGTGAAGTTCTGCAGCCCCAATCTGTTCCCTTCCTACAAGCCTTGTCAGGCGCTGTATTTCAACAGGATAATGCCCGTCCTCATATTGCCGAGGACTGTTCAATCCTTCCTTGCATCGCGGCAGGTATAGCTTCTTTCTTGGCCTGCGTATTCTCCGGATATGTCGCCGATTGAACATGTGTGGGATTTCGTTGGTCGGCGTCTTGCTCCTGATCCTCGTCCTGTTGCTTCTACAGACGAACTTTGGGTATGCATACAAACAATATGGAATTCTCTACCTCAGACAGACTTTCAAAGTTTGCTTGACTCCATGCCACGTCGTGTAGCAGCACTAATGCGGTGCGTGGTGGCTGCACAAAATACTGATCTCGATCTCTTGTTATTGTTTGTTTGCTTTGAAAGTTTAATCATTTATTTGTACCACTACCACTCAACTGTGTATTAAATTTCATTCAATTATGACGATTCCTTCATGGTGTTGCAATTTTCACAAACAGGAGTTTATGTATATATTATATTAGGTTATATGGAAAAGAAGTTTTTTTATTATTGTTTTACAAGTTTTCTGATTTAATTTGCAATCGAATCAATAACTGTAGTAAGTTTCAGGTTTCCAGATTTCCATGTTTTTAATACTTTGTTTAACTAAAGTTCAATTTGTCATAATATTTCATTAACTTTATTGATTGAGCGAACGTATAAACTTATAAAACTTTCATGTTTTGTTATTTTTTTAGGTTTTCTAAACAAAGTAGGTTTTTTTTATTAAATCATTATGAAAAATATATTTAAGAAAAGAAAAAGTCCATTATAAAAATTAAACGGAAGCATTTCATAAATTACAAAATGTTTGTATATAAGCTGAGAATGTGTTAAGAATCGTTTTATTCCAAAATTTCAATTATCATTTGCTTATAATATCACGGTTTATCTAAAAATAATACTTTAAAATTAATATTTTTCCTTAGTTCATTAATTTAACATTTTCTACTTCCAGTATGTTAAAATAATATATCTTAAGGTTTCTGTGTATATAAAGAGTCTAAGGTTTCTTTCTTCACGAGTTTTAATTTCTGTTGTTCACCAAGGTATTAATTCCTAACCTGATCTTTTTTTTTCTTCTATTACCACGATTTTCCACTTAAATATTAGTTCGATTTTATCACCAACTGATTTTTGCAAAAAGGTAATGAAAATATTTAAAAATATAAAAAATTGAAAGAATCTGTCGACTTTTGTTGTATGGTATATGAGAAAAAAAATTTTTAATAAAAAAAAATTAATGATGGATCTGGAAGGTGTGTTTTTTTGGTTTAGTTTTTCAGCTAGTTTCAGAACTTAAATTATTTTAGAATTATTTCAGAAATTTATTGAGAGTGTCACCTCACGACAGAACTCCAGAAAAAGAATCAGTGAAACTAGTAATAATGTTCATTTCATTATTACATTATTACTAGTTATTGTTACATCATTATTACTAGTTATTACTAGTTTACATTATTACATCATTATTACTAGTTTAACTAGTAATAATGAAACCGAAAGTCCAAATCAAGCTGCTGAGGATCATGTCTGAATTATTTTATTTTATTCATTTTTAAGAATTCGTTTCTAAAAAAGAGTTTTTAGAGAAGTATGGCCAGGTAGGGACATGTTAAATATGCTATTAAATTTTTTTTTTAAATTTAACAAACCAACACGTAAGTAGAGAGCGCAAAAAGAAAAAAAAGTCGGAATTACCCTGAATAATTTTTGATCTTATGATCGGATCCTCACGTTCTAGGACACAATTTTAATAGTTCGAAAGGGTGACCTCAACCCCCAAAATATAGAGGGTAGCCGCAGTCTGGGAAATGTGGTCTCCATAGTTTGATCAGGCGAACGATCTTAATTTTTGACAACTTAATGTTAATTTTACGTTTTACGTATTTCGCCATATCTCGAGAACTTTTTAAACGAATTTAGAAAAAATTCACACAATTATAACATTTGTTTATCCATAGATAATTCCATGTGAAAAATAAATTTTAGTACTTATTTATTATTTTATTTAATTATAGTCGAAACAGTTTTGAATTGTAAGGTATATAATTTTTTACATAACTTTAAAGTTCGTTATTTTACGTGGCAAAATGCAAAACTTAAGCTAAATCGGTTGAATTGTTTCGGTGATATCAGATTTTAAATATACTACTTTATTAACTTCTTTTAAATATACTACTTCTTTAACTATGGGGATCATATTTCCCAGATTGCTACTACTCCCTATATTTTGAGGTTTAGAAATCCGAATCCGTCGTAAAAAAGTTATATTTATTCAGAGAAAGTACGTTTTTGTGTCTGCTTTCAAAATTTAAAATATCGTCTGCACTAAATAATTAGCATATTAGCATTAATAAGTATTAGTATATTTGAAGTCATCCATTCGAACCATAACGATTGAGTCCTAAAACGTGAAGATCCGATCATTAGATCAAAAGTTATTTAGAATTTAGTTATTTATTTTTGTACTCTGTACATTTTTTCTACTCGCTAACATGTTTCATAATTTGTTAAAATATTTGGTTTTACATCAATCAATTGGACAATGTATACCGTGGACGTTATTCTTGTCGTTATTATTATCGAGATTTTTTTCTTCTTAACAAAATTATACAGATTCGGTTTCGCTGTTAGCCTTGCCTGAATAGTTATTTAGTATAACGCGTTCGTCTGTTTTCAGATTTTTTAATAAATTAAAAAATTATTTAAAAAAATTTCTCAGAATTTTTTTCGAAAAGTATTTACTATTATTAAATTAATTTTCATAAGCTTCAAACTTGAATAAATTAGTATATATGGAAAGAAATAGAATTTAAACAGGCAAAAACACCTAAACATCACTTAAATCTAAAATTAAATGATTGCTTTAAATCTTTGAAAAGAAGAAAAATTCATAAAGAGTTAGAGAAATCGCATGCTATTTCTGCCATTCTAAGGAGCAGATCAATTATTTTTCATCGTTCCTAAAAGCTAATACATGCATGATTTTTTAAAGCTATACAGTTTTAACCCCTTCAGGAACATGATCGCGCGGATCTTCACGAATCACAGTATCACATATGAAACGAACCTTTCTAATTCGTGATCTCAATACGGTACTCGCATAATACATCTCGTATTAGTACGAATACGTACTCTTTAGTAGTATAAACTTGGAGCGTGCATGTGTTGGGAAGAGCTTCTTCTTCCTTAAGCCAGTCCTGATAAGGGGTCAAAGCCGTATATACTTCATAATAGATAGAAGAACGATTCTCTACCATCAAAAATATGTTAAAAACAAACTAAATCGGAAATACTAAAATTTAAAATTCAATCGAAAATCCAAAGCAAGATGCTAAAGGAGACTTCTGAATTATTTTATTTTATTCTTTTCTCTTTAAAGAATATTTTTTAGAAAAAAATTTATTTTAGTAATTAGGCTAATTAGTGTTTGATTTATTTTTAGAAGAAAAATGAAGTTTTACGGATTCCTTGTATTAATTGCCTGCTTGTTTATTGTTTTGAAAGCCCAAAGTTGAAAAGAACAACGGGCAGAAGCTTAAAAAATGAGTAAGTAATATTATTTTCAAGTTGAGGGGATATTTTTTTATAGAACCTTTTTATAGATGATAAGGAATTCAAAACAAAATTTAATGTTAGCCTTGTGCTGTGAATGAAAAATAAAACTCCATTTCTTGTATTTTTTAGACTATTCTATTTTAATATTCATTAATTATGATTATTCATTTACAATTTTACCCACATTTGCTTATGAAAAAAATTTTGTACACATTTTTAAAATTATCCTACAAATCTTTAAATTCTCTTAATCCGAAGG